GGGGGGGGGGGGGGGGGGGGCCTCGATAACAAGGACAATAATGAGAGATCATCATCTTTTGGCAAATGACAAGTCGCGGATCTCCAGCTTCATTGAATAAAGCACAAAATACATATGGAAAAGTGAAACTCCTCCAGAGTGCAATCTTGCGTAGACAGTGAAGGCAGGAGAAGACAAGCTGCGCTGGGAAAATCTTTTCTAATTACATCTGCACAAACTTTTATGAGAAAGTGTGTACGATGCGCGGACGATGCGAGCTGCACTCGTTTCATTCTTCTCTGCTTTGCGCATTTGTAGTTTCGCCACTTCCTCTCAGCTTCCCGATCGGTGATTGGTCCTCGGCAGTCATTTAATTAGGACCGTAGGAGAAACGATGCCTGGGAACGAGAAGGCAATCCCGAGAGGCAAGGGTGTTCCGACACTGCCAGGATCATTCCCCTCCCTAGTTGCGTGTTCCTCGTCGTTCGTATCTTCTGGTCAAGGATATTAACGATATTCTCTTCGATCAGGGAGGATCACCAGACCTACCAACCCACGGTTCTCTTCAAGAGAACAAAACACCACAAGGGTTCGATTTACTGTCTAGCCTGGACTCCGGATGGACAACTCATGGCCACCGGAAGCAACGACAAGACAGTCAAACTGATGCGATTCAACGCATGCACTTCGAACCTTGAAGGTAACTACACGTGCAACCAGACTGACGCGATAACACGAGTAACAGGAGAGAATGAATCCCACTCGGATGTCGAAATGGCCATCATTATTAATGATCCCGTTGAGCCGCGTCTTTTTTTTTTTATTTTTTTTATTTTTTTTTAATATAATAAATTTCCTTTCGACGCAGGCGATGATGTGGATCTGACCATGCACGATGGAACTGTGCGCGACCTCTGCTTCCTCGAGGACACCTCGAATAAGTCGAGCCTCCTGATCAGCGGAGGTGCCGGCGATTGCAAGATCTACGTGACGGACTGCAGGACGTCTACGCCTTTCCAAGCCCTCAGTGGACACAGCGGACACGTTCTCACGCTCTACAATTGGGGCGGTGCGATGTTCGTCAGCGGCTCTCAGGATAAGACCGTCAGATTTTGGGATCTCAGGACGAGGGGTTGCGTTAACATGGTCACACCAGCAACGGTACCTGGCAGCAAGGTATTCCGAGACATTCATTTTTCTTAAGAAACTCTTTTACTCACGGCATTTTCTTGCCCTTATCTTTTCCGTTTTCATGTTCTTTTTCTTTTTCTTTTTATTTTTCTTTTTCTCTTCTCGTCCGATAAGCTTTCCTTCCATTTAACACACGCGTCGTTCTTCGATCTTTCATCTTGTCACGACCTTTTGCATACCAAGACATGCGAAACTTTATCGGACGCCTATGATCAAGACTGAAAATGGAATCCAATTGTACCTACGTGTCTCTGAGTAGCATTTAATTCCGTTACAGGTCGGGAGCCCTGTAGCAGCCCTTTGCGTGGATCCTTCCGGAAGGCTCCTGGTCTCGGGTCACGAGGACAGCAGCTGCGTTCTCTTCGACATTCGCGGTGGTAGGACCGTCCAATGCTTCAAGCCTCACGCCGCTGACATCAGAAGTATTCGCTTTTCTCCATCCGCTTACTATCTACTCACCGCCGGCTACGACAACAAACTCGTACTCACGGATTTGCAAGGTTGGGGTTCCACTTCAAGTCCAAAAGGATTTCTCCAATTAGAATTGCCGAGAGTCTTTGGCACTAAAGCCTCATGCAAATTCGCTCTTTAATTTTCGCAGGTGACTTGACGATGCCTCTACCAAGCGTCGTTGTTGCTCAGCACCAGGACAAAGTAATTTCCGGCCGTTGGCATCCAACAGAGTTCTCATTCCTGAGCACGTCGGCCGACAAGACGGCGACTCTCTGGGCCTTACCGCCGGTTTAACCAAAGTTTGCGGAATATTCGTTCATCACAAAGTTGTCTTGGCCAATTGAAAGTGGCTGAGGTTCAGATCCAGTCCTTTTTTTTTTTATTGGAAGAACAATTTTTGTTTAACATAGACTTGCATACGTAACCATGACCAATTAAACCTTTTAAGTTTTGCCAACGTTCTAACGTAGACTTACGCTGCGCAGTCCGACACACCCGATGAAACTGAAAGAATCGTTGCGTTATTCCAACGAGAAATATAAGACTGCCGGTTGAAAATTTTGCTTAAAATACTTAACGGCGATAAAAATAATGATAATGACTAGAGAAAGGTAAAATAAGTGTAGGAGGAGGTCCGGGGGGTGGAGGGTGGTCATAGCTTTTATGGAGATTAGCAAGATGGCTCATTTCCGTAAACTTGCCGCGAAGACCTCGAAGAACACTCAAAATTTAACGTACATAAAATATATTGATACAAGACGTGAACGGCCAGATATTATCATTGTTACGTCAATGCAGTCCTGCATGAGATATGATAAACTTGAGTTATTTCTCCCTTTTGTATGTGTGTCAGTGTAACTCCTGAATACTGTATTGTAAATACGTTATATTAGAATTAATATCACTTTTACGAAAAGAAGAGTTATTCGTGTACAGTCGATACAAAGGCACAAATCCCTAACTTTCCATACTCTCTTGTGTCTTTGTGGCACGTCACTTTTGGTACTGCGTTACGTAACGGTACCGCTACGTTACGTTGCATCGAAATTTCTGTATTGCGTTGAATTGGCAAGAATACATAAGTGGATGCGTAAGACGACTGCGGGAACGAATTATACTTTTTAAGGATAATACCATGAGAAGTAACGTTGCTAATTAGACGTAAGTGAAATCGATGCTTGAACCTTTTCTCGTACACACCCGGTATAATTGTGCGCGATCCACCATGTCACGGCGAGAAATCGTTTGTGTGGATATTAAGTCTCAAGGAGCCAATGATATTTGAAATCTGAAGATCTGCTTGTATTAAGAATTTTGTCGTGCCTTCCGTCGGTAGTTGCTCTTTATGATTTACGTTTATTTTTTTATTTCTACGCTCGGCCGCATTTACCTCCCTCGAGTCTCCTTTTTTTGCGACCAACTCATGTGCGGTAGAGAATAAATATAAAAAAGAAAAGTATAAAAAGTTTTGCTTCTATCACTTACTACTTTCTTACGTATGTCTATTACGAGAGAGAAAAAAAATTTATATGATATTATTATTGTTATTGCCGCATTAAAACTTAGATCTTTGTACTTTCCCTGTAGATACATATAACACTGCTAGTTTTAATTTAAACAATAAATATGTCATTTAAAGAAATACGAATTGTTGTCGTCCGTTGTTCATTGTTAAAGATGGTACCTGCGGTTCCACATCATTCTCTTTTTCCGCGTCCGACTGATCGCAGGTACTACGAACAGCTTCACACCTCTTTCTTGATTGCGTCTGTTGGCAATCGCTAGAACAGTGAGTTCCTCTTGCCTAGAATGAGTGAACTAATGAAGCGTTCGAGGACTGCGGCCGGAATTCCACGTAATTCAGCGTTCCTCTTCGCAGTTAGCTTCGAGCTATGAGGACGGTGCCCAAATAAACGGCAATTATAATAATCCGGATGAATGGAGAAATTGATAGGGGCCTGACCGAATCCGTGATGGTCAACACAAGTATTCGAGAGATTTAGGGCCTGAGGACACGTCTCGCGCAGCCTCCCACCCAGAGAATTCCGAAATCACCGCAGTTCCTTTCTGTTGGTCCATCTTTGGCTGGACACCGGCAGGGAACTGGCTGTCTGCCCGCCGCAAAGACTTCAGGAATGCTTTCGACGATCTTCCTTCCCCGAGGTGCTGGCCCCTTTCTTATAACAGGGTTGAAGCGTCGAGAGACCATATGCTCCTCTCTCACGATGAGCTTGAAACATTCGGACTGATGCCACTCTCGGAATTTTACGAGCACAACAGTATAACTAATGGTCAATCAGGGCGGGCTTTTTTAACGTCAGATATATATTTCCCAGCAGGAAAACAAGTGTCACTGTTCGTTACACGTGTCCTTCTGCTCTCTTGTCAGTGTACTTCAAAGTTTAGCCGGAAATGCAACTGCGACAGTTAGCTCTCTTTCCAGGGCGCATGCGTCCTGATGCGCCTCGACGCCTCCCTTGTCAAAAATAAGAGCAGAGAGCGAGTACGTAGGTATAGGTGAGCAATCGAGAGGTGAAGTCGACCGAGTAGGTGAATAGGTATATTAAGATAATCGTTCCCTAAATAATTCATCACACGCGCATTCAAATTAACGACTTATTACTGGAACCACCTCCAATAGGGCTAACGCGCACGCTTTGTTTCATAATACGCTATCATTTGACCAGTGACTCTCATTTCTCATTTCAGACAGCCTGAAGATCCTGGATCATTTTCTCGTATTCCGAACGTCAACTACCGACAAGATGATCATCGAGGAAGATAAATTTTGGCTGACTTGATTTACTTCAAGCGTATATGAAAGATCTGCCTGGTGAATTAATCAAGAGCCGAAGACACTTTGATCTAATGAAGAAAAATGAAAGACCGTGTATGTCACTGTGCACCACTGCCAGTTCAAATCACATTCAAATGAGAAAAGAGGGACGCAAAACGATCTTATAATCTTTCTCGGAAGAGGATTTGGGTTCAAGGGAGATGATAATAATTTAAATCGCGCCACTTAGCATACGTATAATTTGGCGTTTAAGAGGATTTCCAGTCCGGGACTTGGGGCCCAAAATCGTAATCATCGAGTCAGGGTCGTCCCGGGGGCCCGCCAAAAGACATAATGACCGTCATGCCCAAATAAAATGCGTCGAAGCGAGTTTAATTTTGAGGGAATTCGAATGTACAACATGACGGGAAAATGACGACGTTGGCGACAGGAAGATAGTAGCGACGATATGCGGAGCCCTGAAAAGTTGCGATGGAAGAAGTTTAAAGAATTTTAGAACCTGACAGCTGTTGCGAGCCCTTACCAAAGTCAAAACCAGAGTGGCCCGCCGGCCGATTTGATCGAATAACCGAGAGTCTTCGAGTAGCCTCGAATATCAGGCTAGATGCGCTTTATGCACCTTTGCGTGAGCTCCGAGAAGTTTCCTTTTCGGCGCCACAGTTCATTCTCGATGGCAGCCGTATCTCCTATAAGTTGTGCGTAAACTTCTCTGGGGATCATGACCTAGTCTTGCAAGAGATCGAGCTGAGAAGGGATATGTTTAGGTAGGAAGAAATTCACTCGAGGTACTGGGCTCCTCCTGAAGGCACAAGGGGTCCCGTTTATCATTATAATACCTAATTCCTAATTCCTAATTCCTAATTTCTAATACCTACTACCTACTACCTACTACCTACTACCTACTACCTAATACCTAATTCGAGAAATGAAACGAGCGGGTTTCGCAGCATAATTCATAACACGCGATCACAGTCATTCCTATTTCCTACCCCGTAGTGAGAGGGTCAGGCTATAACTCTTTATAATAGCTAATATCTCACAACAGTCGTATAAATATGAATCGGTTACTAGTTACTACTTACATGTTAGAAAGATTTATTGCCAAGGTACCGGACCATGGAAGTGCGAGTGAGTCTTTCATCTCTGTCTCTCCTCCCTCCCCCACCCCCACCCCTCACTCTTTCTGGTCGTCTCTCAAGGCGCTTCTCAGTCAATTAAAATCTACTTTTAATCGCTCACTCTTGATTGTGGTCCATTATATTGTCTCTTGGGGGTGCATCGAGCGATCCGACGAATGAACTTTAAGAGAAGCGTGTCGCGAAGGGTCGTAGCCATGATAGTCCATTCGGAATGGTCAAAGGAGACCACGAAGAACAATCAGCATGGTTCCGCAGAAGAATGACTTTGATGACTATCACGAAGAGGAAGTGGAAAAATGATTGAAAGCGATGAAAGTGGCCGAGGGAGTTGTGAACGGTGGAGCTAGGAGGAGACGGGGAGGAGACGTGGAGGAGACGTGGAGGAGACGTGGAGGAGACGTGGAGGAGACGTGGAGGAGACGTGGAGGATATTTGAGGAACAGTGTCCGATGCAGAGAGTGTCTCGTCAGCGGAGGGTTCCATGCGTTCGAAGATGGAACCGGTTGCCCCTAATAACCACCCTCGCATGGCCTAAGGATCTTGCGACCTGCAATCACGCCATAGACAACTGCAGCGACTCGATCATTATCACGGGCAATAATCACTGGCGTATTCTGGCTAAGTGCTCCCTCGACGCTCCTCTCCGCTTCGCAGCCTCCCGCACACGCACACGCACACGAATGATAATCAGGGAGCACGTTCGCTCGCGGATGGACAGGATCTCTAATTCGGAACAATTACCCGAACGATTAAAAAGATTTAATTGTCTAATGTGGGCCTTCGCGCAAAGCACTTTCGAGAAACGCATATATAGCTCGCTAGATAGATCACGCCTTACGTCAGCTCCTACTGCTGGCGGCTCGCTCGCATTAGAACCCTCTGCGTCTGCGTTTCACTCTTTTCGTTCTTCGTTTTCCTCGGCGGTTAAGACGATCCTCCTGCCATCTTTTTAAGCTTCCGATGCTCCTTTTCGCTCTCTCTCTCTCTCTCTCTCTCTCTCTCTCTCTCTCTCTCTCTCTCTCTCTACTCCCTGTTGTCCTTTAATTTTTTTAAAACACAATAGTCAATCTACTATCTAATATTGAAGAGTCGTTGCTATTGCGAAAAGTGAATCGGTGGAGCTTCGCAAAAGTTTCGATACTTTCTTTAAGCTCAGTGAAAGGAGATCCTTTCGGAAGGGTGAGTCTATCTGGTGACGTGCCGTTCCTAATGTGGCCGACGGTCTAACCTCCAAATCGCATAATTCTAGGTTACGTCGGGAAGGGAATACCTCGGAATGGCTTGAACCGGCACGAGGTCTGATGCGCCATCAATTGACGGTGACGAAAGGCAAGAGGAGGACGGGGTGAAGCAATTTGAAGAAAAATCACGTAGAGAGCGAAGAAGTTAAAATCCAGGAGCAGTCTGGCAGGATCAGATATGCGAGGAAAGATTCAGTAAGCTCCCAAGATCTCGGATCTTCCAGTGTCGCGAGTCCTGGATCTTCTCGGCGGGGGTCTTCGCCAGGGGTCTTTACCTTCATATATTTTTCGTGTTCTTCAAAAGCGAGAATAGAGAGTCGAGTTTCGCGCGCGTCTTGCGTACCTTGGCTCTCCTATTAATTAGCGTCGCTGCAACTATCGTTGGCGCTACTCAATTCTTAAATATCCACTGACAATTAAAATAAAGAAGAATAAGATCGCGAATATGCCACTGCCAATTAGGCCAACCGTTAGGAAGTTAAAAGCTACGTCGCATGAAAAGCATTTTTCAACTGGCGGCGCCTTCCTTGATGCTTCGCCAAGGAGGAAATCTCCGATCGCCGATTCTTCTCGAGAACAAAGGATCAAGGAGAAGACTGGTACGTGTACGTAGTAGGTACGTTAAAGTCTTGAGAATGAAACGTAATGATTATGAAAAAAAGAGGAATAACGAATGAAGATCGAAATTATGTAATATTTAATTGATATGATTAACCGACAAAAAATTCCGGCAGCATCAGTCAATTATTTTGCCTAATAAACTTATAAATTGTTCGCGATTGCCGTAAGTCGCTGCAGATCTCACTCTGAAAAGTTGCCATAAAATGCATCCGAAGTGAGGTCCACGACGTTACAAATGGTACCGTGGATCGGCGCTAATTAAATCAGGCCCAACAAATTTTTTTATTTGGGTATAAATTTCGAGCGTTTATTATTCGTTCGTGACAGCGGGGCGCTCGTTAGAGACCGCCCTAGTGGTCTCGAATTTTCAAGCTTGCCGGACTGGGGTGCAACCGTGAGGCTCTCGAGTCACGTCGGCTGCCCAAAATTGGCACCGCGAGATCTCTCGTAATTCGTAATCTCGACTAAACCTACTGAAGAATCAGCCTCTCGTTCTCGCGTTGCCGGTAGATGTCATTTCGGTGGACGCATTCAGTTTTACCGTTCGTTAACTCGTCCCCGCTGGCGTCTCGATCGTTACAGGAGGAGCGTCGTGCCTCGCGCCGCGGCGTCGGGATCCCGCGAGTAATCCCAATTAAAATTCCTCGCTTATTCCATAGATTACGTAACACTTTTCCGTGACGTCGTCACTTCCTTCGGCTCCCTCCTCAGTCCCTAACTAGTCTGCAGTACGCACGGATTTCAAGTGCCATAAAAAAGTTCTCGCAGGTCTCGTTGCGAATTCGTCGTCATCGTTAGACGGTACCGCCACGCTGCGGCGCTGACTCGAAACTCTGCGCAACAG